CGGCCAGACGCCCGATGCTTCCACAGAGACTGAATTTTGTTGGCCGCCGATGTAGCGATTTTGCTACATCTTTCGATCGCGATTATCTTTTCATCCAGGACACAAATTTCCAAAGTTAAGGTTCGTAGTCGTACAGCAACTCATACCTTTTCGAAAAAACGTTCTTTGGTCTCAATATTTTCATCCAACTGGCCACAAGACGAATTTCAGTCATCAGATTCCACAAATATCGTCCTCCATGCGATCCCCCATGCGATTTCAAAATGGCGGCCGCGCTGTAATGATGCAATATGCGGCGCGCCCGCGCAAACTCATGAATATGCATAATAGTCTGTGACGCATGACCTCGTTTTTTTGGACGTGCGTGCAGCGGGGCCGTACGGTCATACGTCACAGGCTAATTATGCATATTCATGAGTTTGCGCGGGCGCGCCTGCATATTGCATACATTACAGCGCGGCCGCCATTTTGAAATCGCATGGGGGATCGCATGGGGGACGATATTTATGGAATCTGATGACTGAAATTCGTCTTGTGGCCAGATGGATGAAAATATTGAGACCAAAGAACGTTTTTTCAAAAAGGTATGAGTTGCTCTACGACTACAAACCTTAACTTTGGAAATTTGTGTCCTGGATGAAAAGATAATCGTGATCGAAAGATGTAGCAAAATCGCTACATCGGCGGCCAACAAAATTCAGTCTCTGTGGAAGCATCGGGCGTCTGGCCGTACTACAGAGCTTGCGATAGTACTGTACGGCCAGACGCAGTCGGGCTACGGCTAAATATACTCCCACTGCCAAATTTGAAAAAGTCTGGGGATTAAAATTACTGTTTTTATCCAAGACCAGCATGCATTGCAAATGTCACAAATGTTTATTTTATCCTTTACCCCTCCTGCCCCCTTCCATATAAACCGTTGGTCCCCCCCCCCCCCCTCCTCGGCAGTCAAATTTCTGAAACCACGCCCATTTCCAGATTCTCAGAAAATGGAGAAAATAACTGACGGAATTCCTTCTTTAAAAACTTAGGATTTCGAACCGTGTTTTCCACTGCATCAACTTCAGAAGAATCTACAGTAGTTCAGTCACTTCCACCTAACTTTCCAAGGCCAAATGGTTCACTTTTCAGGCCAAAATTGGCAAACTTACTTCGACTGTTGTGACTTTTTTTCGAAGTCCTCCACCATACGTGCCCCGCCAATTTACGAACGCGCAACGAACCACGTGAGATTGGATGGTGAACAAATCCCTGGTCCCTGTACTATTGCAATGATTTCAAAGGCATTTGGAGACGCGAACCAGTTATTTGTGCCGCGCCTTATTTATCAATGAAAACTATCCGGCAATTTTTTGTGGGGAAGTTTTCAGTTTCTTTTAGTTTGGGGTAAAAGTCGGTGTTTTTTTTGGAATTCACAATTTTTGCAAACAATCTTTTTCAAATTCTCACAATTTTTATTAAACAATATTGGAGACGAAAAGATCGTCTTCAATATAATAGTATAGATTATAATATAATATGCTTAGATTTTTTTTATTTTTTAACTGCACGAGTTCGCTTATTTTTGTATTGATGGATGGCTCACCCCTTCCATTAATTTGGTATAGCCAGGACTGTGCGGAATGTATATGCAAATTGTACAGGTGCAATTGGGCTTTTCTTTCATCACGTGATAACTGCTCTAATTTCCAGAGTGCCGCGATTTCTATTTATTCCTCTATTTAATAATATTCCTCTATTTTAATAATGTTCCTCTATTCGATATATATTTAATATCTAATATTTCCCTATTTAATAAATTTTCCCATAGAGGGCGGGCTTTCGATTAGTGCGGCCAAATTAACTTGTCCTCCGATAACCCCCCAATAAAAAATGTAGACAGCTGAATTAAATTGTACAAAAACATTTTTTTAAAGGGAATATGGAAGGGGGTCAAACAAAATGTGCATTTTGTTCTTTTTTAAAGTGGAGTTGTTTATTAGTGGGGCCCAGACAACAAAATTATCGTTCATTCATGAAAGGGGATGAATCGGGGAGGGGGGGGGGCAGTAATTTGTAGTTTTGAAAGTTCCAATTTTTGGTGTTCATTTAGTGCTAGATAAATATTTTAAAATGCTGTTTGTTTTCAAATGTAAGAGTCACTATGGCGTCGCAAAGCTGAAACAATGATTCATTCAAAACAACTTCAACGTTTATGAAGTTGTCTTGAAGTCATAAAAGAAGCCGTCTTGCAGACCGAAGTGGGGCCACCAGAAATGCCTTTAAGATTAATCCACCAGGGAACAAGTGAAGACGACTGTTTTTAATACGAAATTGTAGTCCGTTTATCCCCGTTGCCACTTTATAATACAAACAAAGAAAAGAACACTGCACCCCTCCCATAAAATGCGATCTAGCCCCGCCCCTCCACATAAGGAATTGGCAACAACTGGCCTGTCGGTGACCCCTTTCTTGATCCCCCAACAATAAATGCTTCTGGATCCATCAGTGATTTAGCTGTCTAATCATTTTTTTTAATTGCATGAAGTAAATTTGTGATTGTGTTGATATATTTTCTAAGGAATTTCTTTTGATATCCTCATTATGAAGCCAGCATACCTGATTACAAAATCCAAGTGGTGACCCAGCTGTAGAATTCAGAGGCGGGAGATTGGTCCATCACTGAGGGAGGAATGGAGGCATAACACAACAATCATCTAACCTCAAAAGATTTCTCATTGATTGACTCAAGTCATTGCATGCAATGATTTATTACACGATAATAATCATACAAAGTACACAATGTCAAATAATAATCCCGGACGTCTTAAACTTTGCCCAAAATATCTGGAAAAACAAAAGAAGAGATCAGAAATGTTTCTCCACCAATAACAAATAATATAAATGACTTACAAATTCCAACATATCTCTACTCATAGTTAACCAATAAACTTACTTCCGCCAAACGGTGCAAATATCAGATATTTAATTTTTATTTGCAAGTTAAGACAAGATAAGTTTGCGGTAGCACCATGTGAATGAATCTCTTTTGTGAGTATGTGTGGTTCTGAAAAGAACCGGAGGGACTTAATGTTTCGAACAGTATGCTCTGCCCGTCGTCAGGAGAATGAGGGATTCCAACGATGATGCGATTATAAGGATGGGTGCGGTGAGGCGTGAGAAGGATGTAAACTGGTGAAGCTCGAAACCGGTGAAGCTGAGAAGGATGCAAGTTGACTGATATATTCACATGGTGCTGCCGCAAACTTATCTTGTCTTAGTCTCTTTCCACCATGCAAACCTTCAAATCTTATTTTCAAGTTAAATAAAAAAAATTGACTGTAGCAGGATTACCGTACCGGAACAGTGAGCTTTTTGATTACAATTCGGTAGGTTACTTTTGGGATAAATGCAAATGATCCCATCCCATATCCCTTTAAATGTGTAAATTAATGAGTGCAAAAATCCCCATCATTTGAAATTGCAATCAGTTCAGCTTTGCAGTTACTTTGTGTAAATCTCATTTTAATCAAAATCTTCTGTCATGTGTCATGCCAGCAACAACAGTTAAACATTATTTACATTCAGTTTACATTTCCAATGTGAATAAATCAAAACGTTGATTCAAAGTCTACTTGTTCTCTCCTGCAGAACTGCTTTTACCAAATTGAATGGTTGCATTTGGGCATGTTATAAACGACTGTTATCACCTGGGTAACTGCAAAATATCAAAACTGTTAGAAACAAAAACGTCAGTTTTGGCACGAGAACATTTATCATACTTGGAACAAACAAATCTAGTGTCGATCAATACTTTGAAGAGGCTTGCATTGATAAAAACAAGCAAATTGTCCACTTGTACCTATTTCAACATAATCAGAAACACAGAAACATTTTTGCGTATACAACAATTGCAACGATTGGTCCTGAATGAGCAAACATGACTGTCCTCTGACAAAAATGCATCATTTGGCAATGCAACATTCTACATGTATATATTATACATGAATTGTTTGACAGTATGAACACTGGTTTAGTAACTCTCAATATGGACATAGGCCTATAGTTGAATAGTAAACAAAATCCACGTTATACTGTCCTTACACAACTGTACCACTTTAAAGGTATATTACATAAACAGTCAAGGTTAAAGATCTATACAAAAGTTAGCAAACTGGAATCATTTATGCATAATTTACATTAATTTACAGGAAGAATTTGATAAAGAATGAAGCACAATCATTCAAAAGAAACGTCTATTTGGAGGCACGTGAACTTGTGAGGATTTTTCCAATTTGTACAAAGCTGAGGCAAATGCTATTCTTTTTCAGGGTTTACATGTTTATGCAAAACAATTCAAAAGTACCCGAGGTTTGGAGTATTATTCTGTATACTAAGTTTTGCACAGCACTGGTCTATGGAAGGGTGTCGTGCAGCCATTTGCGCGTGGTCACATTAGTTTGTTTGAATGCCATATTACTACATTGATCGGATAACAGGGTAGGAGGAGGCCTTTGTCACAAAAGTTGAAGACATCTCACACAACTTTCACCTAAGATGATGCGATACAAGATATTTTCTCAAAAGAAATGGAACGGAGAGGTGGATTCTCCTGTTTAATTGACGATTAGATTGTGGATTTATAATAGTACTCAGAGGTCACCCAAGATACATGGTCAATTTAATATCACTTTCAAGTGACACCCAGAATGCTTAGTACAGTGCTATTATGTTTGAAGATTTCAATGAATCATTTTGTACAGGAATTGTTGATTGAATTTTCACACTGATTGATGGATTGAATTTTTGGGGGGATGGGGGTTCAGTAGAATGAAGAACTATGCTTGGTAAATTTGTATTCATAATGTAAGAGGATTCCGAATACTCTATTTGTATTGAAACTGTTTTGTTGACTTTTTTTCATTGATAATCGAACCCCTTACTGTCCTCTGAAAGTAAAGTTTTAGTTGTTATTGATTGTTGTTTTTTTGGTAATCTTTTGTGTGTGTTTGTGGGGGGGGGGGGGTTGCAGAGCATTGCCTTCACATAAAATGACCCATGATACATGCTACTTGTTTCGGTTTAATGCGGCTCATGAGCGTGTTGCATTCATAGGGAACAGGGTGAGAGTTATGACTTGGTGGGAGATTATTTAGGCTTGAGGAATATTCCCTCTTGTGTTTCCTTCAGGTGAGGGAGGTTTTGACTGACAACTTGTCTGACGAGCTCAGCATCGAGGCCGATGGTACAAAGTGACAACCCAGTCAAATCAGGGAGACCTTGGAGATGACGGGTGAGAGCCCTCACTGCATCCAAACTGAATGCATTGCCATCAAGGATAAGCCCTTGTAAACCATGCCCAGCAGGAATGATGCTGATCAGGTCCTTCACGTCATCATCTACCAACCTGCATGCACTGAGGTGCAAGAGTGTAAGGGATGACAGGACGTGGCTGACATCTCGCACCCGTGCATGCAGGTTGGTGTAAAACAGTGCGAGAACATCCAACCTGCATCCTTCCAGTGCCTTCAATAGATCAACAACCTCATCCGGTGATCGTTGGTACATAGCCAAACCAAGCCTGCCTATTTGTTCCTGCATGCAGAAAAAGCTGTGTGATACACGCCCCACGTCAAACCATGACCTTGCCTCAATGATAACCGTAATGATGAATCGAGCATGGCGCTGTACATCCACCTCACCAAGTGTTTCCTCAAGGAGGCTAAGCTCCTCCCCCTCCTGCTCAGACAAGTAGTAGTAAACAGTTATCAGCCTAGCTGACTTCATGCTGTCACTCAGAAGAATTCCCCTGAGAAGGGTAAGCCCCTGCTTTCTTACATGCATGTCAAAATCTGTACCTTCAAGTGGCGGAGTGACATGCTGTAAGTAGTAGCTCAGTGATTTCAGGTCTTCGTTACTCTTGCACTTTACAAAAGTTGGTCTGACTAGTTTGGTAGCCAACTCATCTGAACCAGACTCGAATAGCAGTAACCTAGCCAATCTCTGCAGTTTCTTCTCATCACCTTGCATCTCTCGTATGTGATCAAGAATGAGACCAGCAGCCTGCATTGATCTACCACAACAAAATCTCAGCAGGTATTCCATCGCAAGAACATTGCCATCTCCAATCTGCTCCAACTGATGACGGAAATTGTTTTCGTCATCGTCTAGCAATTTCACCAGGTGACATGCTGCGAAGTATTCTTGGATGGACTTGTGGGGGAAACTGAACAACACTTCTTCACCCGGACCACACTGAAACTTTTCACCTTGAACAAAACCCACTGCACGGCCCTCATCTAAGTCAGACTGAAATTCACTTTCTTTGAACATGAGTCTTTCCCCTCTACAGTCTAGTAACCCTTGCAATGCAACATGCCCCAAGCCATCAATGATGGACATCATGTTAGACATCACCTGTTCATCGCTCATATCTTTATTGCGGCGCTTGAAAAGAGCAACCGCAAACTCTTCGTACAGCTCGGTAATTCTCTCAGGCAATGACTTTTGATTCTTCCAAACAAGGCACAGCATCTGGGAAATGATTGGAACTACAGCCATTTCCCGGATATTTGCATTGACTTTCAGATGTGAAATCAATGCCTCTCCCATGTCAGCATCATCAGGAAGGTTTAATCTGATGTATTGATCTCTATCATGTGGTCTGAAGCCAAATGTCTGAATATGGGCGTAATTTGGGTGACCTCTGAGTATATATTGTTTCCTGTGTGGTCGGGTGGTAACCAACACAAAACTTTTAGTAAGGACTCTGTTGTGTAAGATATCCTGAACCCTGTACACGCCCTCCTCAGATTCCAAAACATGAGAAGGAATTTCATCGAATCCATCAAACAGCAAAGCAATGCGTGATTCATGATGATCAATGAACCCTTTCACTATGTCTTTCGTCAGTTTGGTATTACCTGCTAGAATTTGGTCAAATATGTAATCCAAGACACAACTAGATTGCTGCATTTGCCTCAGCTTTATCCAAAGCACAAGATCGTATCTACCATGTAGGGGTTTTGAACCAAGTGTGATGCAGGATTTTGCAACTTTCACTAACAGGGTTGATTTACCCGTCCCGGCCCCACCACAAAGGAGAATCTTGATTTCCTTAACTATTTCCTGATTGAACAAATCGTCTACAGATTTGAGAATTATATGTTGTGCTTCATCCAAGTATATTTTTCTTTCTGGTAATGTCACCAACCTCTCTGATTTTGTTTTGCCTGGAATGATCTTTCCAAGATAGAGAGGAATAAAGAATTTATCAATATCTACATTACATGTCTGCAGTGTAGGGTGTGCAGGAATAGTCGTTGCAGTTTCCTTGTAGTTGTCGATAATTTGCTGTTGAAAATACCAAAACGCATACGGCCCCTGGAGTCCGGTCATTTCTAACAGAAATCATAAAAATATATTTTTTTTATTGGACAGCAGATGGACATGATTCATTACAATTATTCTTTTGAGCTACGATTCAACAAGCCTAACAATCTGCTGGTCTTTATTTCCAAGTTCTCGCACCACCAAATATTTTTTTTTCGCATTCAGGTTTCATATCTTTATCCACAAAAGTATTGAAGTAGTTTTAGTTTCCCATTTAGGGCGGTAAAATGTACACTTAGAAATTTTGAATAGGATTGAAAGTTACATATCCAATTTGTTTTTAAATTTGGCATTCTCAAGATGACAATACATGTATTGATAAACCATGAGGCACATGAGATTGATGTTACACACAAATAGCCAGTCCCTTACACTCTTCAAACAAACGCAGCTGCGATGAAATCAACGCGGAAATTCTGATCACACCATAAACTAGATGAAGAAAGGACTAACTGTAGCTGTCAGTAAATTCTAACAAAAAGGGCGAAACTTGACAATGCTGCATGCTGTTTCCAGGCCATTTTTATTATGATCGTACGTTTATCCAACATCCACCGAACCACACACTTTTTAATTCTCCAGTGTTCATTCCTGGGTGTATTCGTGGGTGCAGGAGGACATGAGGACATGTGCCCTTCCCAGCTCCCCCCCCCCCTTCAAAAAAAGGAAGGTGGGCAAGCAGAAGGAAAGTTTTCAAAAAGCTAACGTAAAAATTTAATTACGTTGCTTAAGAAATGAGCTAAAATGCGTTTCTCTCCGAGTATGGTAATTTGATATGTTTTAATGTGATTATATGTGCTTTCCCTTTCAAACTTATTGAGTACTGAAATTTGGTTGATAGCAGAGTCATGAGCCTTAAACAGACAGTAATTTATGTCAACAAAAGTATTGCATGTGATTTCTGGTATACCATTGTAAATTAAGCACACAAAAAGTAATTCAGTAAATTAATCACGCCTATTTTAACGAATATTTTAACTATCATATGTACCAAGGCTACTAAGTCATGAAAATTATGATTGATTAAAATTTATTTTGATACCCACCTAGCAATTTTTCGATAATGTCCATTCTGCCGATCTCAATCAGAGCTGTGCATAGCACTCTACTCTGATCCCTGCCGGTGGATTGTTGGCGCCTCCATTTGACCAGCATCTTGAAGATCTGTTGTTTCTTGTGGGAGATCTTTGCAGCGCTTAAACCCAGATGTGTAGCAAGCTTCCGCGAATCAAAGCCAAGCATCTCAGATATCTTGTGTAGAACGGAGTCACTGATACCTGCAAATGGTCAAGAAAGTTTCTGTGAAAATGTCTGTTATGTTCAGATTAAAAGTCAATGGTGAATGCATTGTGCCAGTTGTTGTTGAGATAATTCATGGAGGGGGCAGTTACTTGAAACCATGGCTACCACAATACCGGTACTTTCACAATTAAAGGGAGCCTATTTTGTACAGTGACTGTGATGGCATGCAGAGAATAGTCTCTAGTCTTTCTTTGCTGGCTATTTAATCATTTCGAAATAAAATAAATTGATAGGCCTCATAAATTGATGGATCAATTTAATTAACAACTTGGTGGAAAAGCAAGTTGTATTGTCCATTTTGGACAACAAATAATTTCTGATGAGGAAAGATTAACAACGACAACGTTTCCTATGATGAAAGTTATCATTACTGTGAAACACTGAGAAAAGCTTACCTGTGTCAGCTTCTATTGGGATCAGTCCTATGTTTTCCCCACGTGACGATTGTTGACCATTTTCTGGATGCAAATTTTACAATGAGAACAAATTGCGTTAACTGTATACTGATGCATGAATCCTCATTCCAAATACCACAGTAAGTTAATTTGAGATTCCATAATAAACGTTTAATCTAATATTAAATATTAAAAAATATTATACAATTATTAAAAAAAATATTTATATATATATATATATATATACACAAATATGATCAAAAAGAAACATTATAAGAAATATATATTGATGATATAAAAACAAACTAAAAACAAATTATATGTATATAGGGATGAAACGAGCACTGTGAACTATGTGATAGGAGATGATTTCATTGGATATGCATATATAGATATAAAATGCTAAAAAGTAATGGATAAAAAAAACAAAAACAAGAAGACACAACGCACATATACTTGAGACAAACACAAAGACAACAACAAAACAAACAAAACAAAATAACAAAAAGAAGAGAAAAAAAGGAGAGTAAAACAAAACAACAAACGTAACTAAACAAAACAAAAACAAGACAAGACAAGGAAAACAAAGTAAAACAAAAAGAAACAGAGCAAGACAGAACAAAACAAAACAAAAATCCAAACCAAGCACAACAGAACAAAACTGACCAAAGGAAAACAGAACAAAAAAGTAAGAAAAAAAAATACACTATCTAAGAAAAAAACAAGATAGCAAGAGTTTTGTTACAGAAATAAAAATAATAAAAACAAATCACATGAAAGAAAAACTTTCGGAGAGAAGTGATGACGGTATAAAAATATTAAAAGGAGTTGCAAAAAACGGATGGTAATACATATATTTGAAGTAATCGATGACAATTCATTCAAGTGAGTTAAAAATGAAAGCAACAATGCATTAAAAAAGTAAACTATTCATTCATTAACCACTTGAAAGAGCACTCGTTAGAGCCACGTCTTTACAAAGTTTTGGCCAAAAATGCAAGTCTTGCTCGGCTATAACAAGGAAGAGTGATTAAAATGTGACGGAGATCCAAAATCATTTTATTCTTAATATTAATATCACGCGCAGTTTTCTTTAATAATATTTCAATTTCCCTTGTTATATTGTTTTTGTTTCAAAATACAAATATCCCCTTAGGACCCTTACCTTCACGTTGACGGCAGCATTTCTCCCTGTATTTATCTGCAAAAACAACACAAAACACTTGTAATTACTTTGAAGAATCTCATACAACAGGGAAACAATTTTTGTTATAACATATATATAGGGCACAGCCACTATCGTAGTGGTGCGATGGTAATATGCGCATGGTTCATCGAATTGTACTGTGCAGCGATTTACTGAAGTGGGTGCTACGTACACAAGCCGCGCAAATGATGTCCTTGTATCTTTGTGAGCAGTTCGCTGCCTGAGTCAGGTTTGTGGATGGAAAGGTGCATGCTGCTACGCGGTAATAAGGCTGTACCGTCTCAGTATCATGAATTCAGAACGTCTTGCTCCAAGACCAACACTGTCAGTAAACTATCAAACTGACCATTTTGCCGAGGAAAACTGAAATGCCATAATTAAGAAACATCAAAAGCTCAGTTTTATTATGAAATCTCTAACAAACACACAAAAGGACAGTAAACAAGAGAACAAAATCTCATGAAATCATGAGCTCACTTCATGTATTTTCGTGTGTCAACATTAGGGACCATTAGAAATGCTGCGTCTACGGGAGAAGTATGTGGCTCAGAAAAAGTCACCTATTGAATCACTATATTGCGTTGTTAGTTTATAAGGCACACTCCTGACAATGCACATGTTACATCAAGATATTGAAATGTATTATGTGCGTCTGGTGAAATTATCACACAAATAATGAGTTAACAGGTCATTTTTCCGAGCCGCATGCGTATCCCGTATGCATACAATTTCTAATGGTCTCTATTACTTTTTGTAATACCGGTAGCTTGAGTCGTAATATTGATTATCTAGTTTCAAGGCAAAAGGTTTGGGAGGATTTCCATTGCTTCTCTAACCCTATACGATTACAGACGTGCCATGAATTCACGTCAGAAGGGGGGGGGGGAGGGTCCGGGGGGGGGGGGGGGAGGGGGGGTCCGGAGGGGAGTATAAAACAAGTAATAAAACGTGCCATGAATTCACTTCGGAGGGGAGCATAAAGCAAGTGAACAATATGGAAAAGACAGTAACGTCCAATTCTGCGATTATACCAGTAGGAACATCACTTAGGCCCCCCCCCCCCCCCAAAAAGGCTCTGGTTTCTGATATGCACGCGCGTCGCCGTAGCCATGCGGGTTGGCAAAATGAAAAAACAAAAATCAGTATAAAAAGATGATGTGTCAAAACCGCCAAACTCACTGGTTTGACTGGAATCTTGCTGCTGCACAATTTTAAAGTGTTTTTAGATGTGGTTATAATCGAGAATAAGCTTTATGTGGCCTCTCCAGTCTCTGGACTCCCATAATATATTTGCACTAAGTTTAGTCAGCCACCATTTACAGTCATCAGCCAACATTTGAAGCAAAAAAACAGGTAAAAAAAACGCGTCGCCGCACCACTTCTGGGGCAAGCTCCATACCAGAAACCAGAGACTTTTTTGGGGGGGCCTTACATATTCCAACAGTGCCAACAGAGCCACCAGAAAGCAAGTGAAAACAATGGAAAGGCAATAACTTTCAATCCTGAGATTACACCAGTAGGAATACTACTTACATATTCCAAAACCAAATGTCAACACTGCCATCAGCAAGAGGCCAAATGGTACAACCATTCCAACAATCAAGGAAACATTAACCAAGTCATTTCCACCACTTCCAGTTGCAGACGGCGTATTTGTAGTCGTGGTCATGCTGCCAAAATCTGCCATTTTTGTTCTTGTCGACTTCCTTTTAAAAAGAAAAATTGCAAATTGTAAGTGAGCTACATGCCAGATAGTGAGGTGTTTGTTATCTAGACACTATGACACTATGTTATGAACGGATTTCGTTTCTAATCCAAGGGCGGAGGAAGTGATTGGTGTTTCTAACCACCTTGAAATTGCTAATTCTTTATGTAATGAAAAAAGTCTTCATTTTTGGTTTACATTCTTCCAGTGTTGTATGATTCGAGTCAAGGACTCGGACTCGAGTCACATTTTTGGTGACTCGGACTCGACTCGAGTCACATTGGGAAATGACTCTGACTCAGACTCGATCTTGATGACTCAGACTCGAGCTTGGTGACTCGTGACTCAAGTCTGGTATTTTCAACAAAAGAAAAATCATAACGTTATTTTTGCAACGAAGGTTGCATTATTGATTACTCCATATCATAGACAAAACACAGCGCCTGGGAAATTTGTATCCAAGGGCTACGCATACATGCCTAGTGCCTGCACGACGAGCACCATGGGCCCGGTGTCACGTCAAAAAGTTCCCGGTATTAAAAGGAAAACACATTTTGGGTCAAAACAACATGTACACACACAACTATCTATATACACTGGGATTTACTTAAAAGACAGAATGGGGGATTGAAAAAGAATGTTAAAAAAATTGATTAGTTGGTGAACAACTAAGGACAAGTGACTTGTGTCTCGGACTCGGACTTGAGGCTGGTGACTCAACTTTGCAAATCTGAAATTCACTGATTCAGAGAGGTCCTTGATCTTATGATGAGGTGACTGCAGCAATGCCCCATCCTCTCCTTTGAAAAATCCACCACTGAAATCACATTATATATTGCGACTTTTATCGGATGATCGGGCTGTTTAAGGTATCATTTGCAGCTATCCAAAAAGTAACTGATGATATTATTGTTAAAAAGCATACTTGGTTTCAAGATAGTAATGACAATAAATTCCATGTGCATTTTTTCTTCTGACATACTGTCATTTTAAAGAAAACAATAAAAGAATATCATTTCCAAAGATGCATCTAAAGACTATTTTCCGATAGTAGTTCGTTTTTAATTCATTGAAGGCGTGAATGGGCCCTATATCTAGAGAACTGTATGGGTAGCACTGAAACTTTGTAGATGTATGTCTATAGATGGGAATGCGTTATTGATGAAAATCTAGATGACGTTATGGTGCTGTCATTACATGATTTTACATAGATTTCAGACATTTTGATGATTATCGCCATATCTCACCAACACAACATGCCAAATTAAAAATTCTTTTGTAATTTTTTTGTTAGGTCATAGATATGAAAAAATGTGTGATGCCATCATGAAAATGTGAATATTTAAAACAAACATCAGGGTAAGTCCGGTCATCATCAAACTTGGTGGAAGGCAGATAATAGTATGCAAAATTTGAAATGACATGAAGATGACATCATCAACTGATTTTAATAAATGTGAAACTTTTCTTTGTGGGTAATAGCAAAACTTTAAAGTATGAATTTAATACAAGAACATATCAGTTACATGACTAGGCATTGCCATCACTTCACACTTTGCAATAAAGCAAAGTGTTATTCCTATGCTTGTAAGCTAGCCTTAACCTCATCCAAAGTAACTGACAATGTTCTTACCCCTTTTAAGTTCCCAGTCAAATCACTTGAAGACAAAGTTTTCTACTTTGATGTAAAGCGCACAAGCAGTTGAGGCTTTTGATGGGGCGGATCTGGTAAAGATGGCGCTGGACAAACACAGCATCGTCATCAAGTCGCGTGACATGGTTTATATTTAGAACTTGGGATTTTTGTTTTGCTGCATACATGTACGTCACACGTACCGGTACAGTCTGTTTATCTGTTTATCTGTGTACATACAGTATTTACTTGACACTTGAGTTTTAATTTGGACTTTAGAGACAGGTAGCTCCATGCACTGATTCTATCTACAAGCGTACTTTGTTAGATTTCAATCGCACACACCTCAGCATGTGTACATATTTATTTCACACTTGAGTTTTGGACCTTAAGATACCGTAGGTTCATGCATTCTATCTACCTGTACAAAATGCACTTTGTTAAATCTCAATGGCATACACCTCAGCATTCATTTAATTCCACTAATCCACTTTTGTTTTTAACCCTCAAATAAATGCCCTATAATATTGTAAAAATCTTGCTTGAACCCAACACATGAATTGCAGTTTCTAGGGTTCACCATAAATTCATATGAAATGGAAGTCCGGCTTCCTCTTGAACCAATTGTGCAGTTATATGTCGTTCCTTAGTTTAATACCCAAGCATGGCCGACTGTGCAGTTTATCCCTCAAGTAATTTGGAAACTGGTTTCTTGCTTTCCAGGAGTACAATTGGGTCCCCTGTTTTACAAGAACCTTGAAATCAGTATTAGATGCAGTACTTAACGCGTCGTCCGATTTTTATGTTTTTGGTATTAAGAGCTAAAAAGTCATAACAGCTCGGGTCACAAAAAACATTTTTTTCAAGGCTATCGCGGAAAAAGTTGAGGGGGGGGGGCGGATTCTGCCCCCCCCCCCCCCCCCCCCCGCCCTTTTAGGGTTAAGGAAAACGGAGGAATTTTCACACACAAAATGTCATTGATAATGAAGCAACAATTGAATTGCAGTGGTGGGTTTCCAGTTTGCCCACTGCGTCTCGTTCTATTTTGCCTCAAGTGAGCAACTTGCAATAGAAATGGATGCATCCAATAGTGCATGGGGAGCCTAATGCCTCGCAATTAATCTTAAAACTAATGGAAGATGGACTGCAAATGAAACCAAATTTCATATCAATTACTGTACCTTGAGCTGTTTTCTAGTATGGCCTTTGTTCATTTGTATCGCATGTTGAAGGTAAACCCATATCCGTATCAATGGATAAGACAACTGCAGTAGCGTGTATAATCATATGGGTGGATGCCATTCATTGGAACTAAATCAGTTGACTAAGAGAATACGGCTGTGGTGTGTAAAACATGACTATGGTTAATTTCACATCATATTCCGAGTGTCAATAACACCATGGCATGATTCCTTATCACAGTCATTTAATGACAATCTTGAGAGGCAACTCAACCCTCATGTGTTTTGCCACATTATGTCGTTTGAGATTTTAAACCGACAATAGATCTGTTTGCTTCTAGAACAAACTGCCAAATCAAATCTTTCGTATCTTACCTGCCAGATCCACAGGCAGGAACTTGCGATGCCTTTTCAGTGCCATGGGAAAATGAACTAATTTATTGTTTTCTGCCATTTTCTCTAATCAACAGAGTCTTACAGAAGATAGAAAGGGCCAGGAGTGCTCATCCTCTCCTGGAGGAAAACACAGCATTGGTTTCCAAGGCTACTACGTCTACTGACAACAGAGCCAGTTGGACTACCCAAGTCCAAGACACTTCTGCGTCTACCTCACGACCCACAGCGTCAACATCCACTAGCAACCAGCCTAGAGCTGTGTGCGGCACACTTGTCAGGAATTCTCTCATTGAGAAAGGACTATCAGAGGAAACAATCGAGATTATCATACAGTCCTGGAGAATCCGAACACGTAAACCGAACAGTTCAGCATTATGCAATAATTCCTGGATCCACCCCTGCTGCGTTACCAATAACAAGTGCAAGTGCAAACTCGGGCAACAAATATGACCACACATTTGGTCAATTTTGACATTTCCTCCTTCTGGACACTGTCCAACCGCTACACAAAATACCACGTGACTATAACATTACTGCACATACTTTGCCTCCATTTACAAACTCTTTTTATAAACATCTTTCCAAATTGTCACAAACAATTTTCGTTAAGCATTTTATTTGCCTTTTTTTAATTTCAATTTGGTAGCTATTTTTTTATGGGAAACTTAGGGGCTTGTTTTGATCAATTTTCGGGGACAGACATAATGCAAAATTAACATGCATGCGCATCGATTGAAACAAAACCGGTGTTCTGAAAACTTTTGGCAAGAGTGCATTTTATGACACAGCGGCATGGCATTTGGTCAATTAGTAAATTTTTTTTGGTCAAATAATTTTGGTCAATTTTCGGGGACAGACCGACCGACCGACAGACAGACAGACTGACCAACCACCAAGTGACATGTAGAAGCTCCTGCCAGAGCTTAAAAAACTTATTAGCAAACCAACAGAATGCTAATTTGTTGACCTCTTTTTGTAGTTTATAGTCATTTCATGGCTATTTCATTCTTCTGTGAGAGAATCCACCCTACACAATGCAGGGTTTCAAATTTGCCATGTTCTTTTCTTGTAACTTGGGTTACCCAAAAAAGTAATTGGCAAGTAGAAGTATGACAGACTGACAAATAAACCTAAGGCGAAGTAAAAAAAAAAACATGTTTAGCGTCCCCGCCCGCTTCCTTTTTAAAGCCGCCTCCTTTTTTTTTTTTTTTTTTTTTTTTTTTAAAAGACAAAAATTGATAAATTTTAACGATCTCTGACGAAAGAAATCATATTTTTAGACTTTTATACTGTGTATAAAGCTGTGGAAATAGTCAATGAGTCCAAGTGGCGGCCATTTTGAAAAAAGCTGGTAACCATCTTGAAAAATAGCCCGGCCGCGTTGTCTTGAAAAATGTGTCGGGCGGCCATTTTGAAAAAAAAAAAAAAAAAAAAAAGGGCCTCCTCCTTCCTTTTTGTCAAAGAGGCAGGACGCTAAAGATGTTTTTTTTTTTATTTTGCCTAAGGAAAGTTAAAAACAAAGTAATTTCCCTACCTACATGTATCAACCTGGATAATTGTTAGGATGTTACCGTAAACACACACATATTTTCAGCCTAAGTGAACCTACCATGATACGGGTCTTGACACACATCCATGGCTTGGCCGGTGTCAATTCTTGCTGTCCTCTTTGGAGGTTTGTGGCCATGAACTTCCTGTATGCATCTTCATCGGTCTCTGCAAGCTCATCCAGCATTGACCAAAAGCACTGTGCCTGCTTCATCAGGTCATGTTGGATGCCTGTCGCCATAGTTTACTGAAATTGGAAAAGAAGGGAGCAAAATTTTTTAAAATGGCGTCCACGCGATATTCGCAACGGAGCCCTCGCCGATAAATGGTACATTTCACTTTTCATCCAGATTGTAAGTAAAGCTTAGTATCTCGATCTTAAAATCATAAATCTGTAATTGTTTCTCAGGTGGCGTACAGGTATGTTAATGTAGTAATTCTGTGGCCGTTTTGAGGGTGAAATCTGATGTTTTTGTTGGCAAATGGTTGGTTGTTAATTATTTGAAACGCCATGTAAGTACTATCGCCAGATCATGTCCAAATGTTGAAAATAATGCAGGGGCTACTGTTGTCGCAATTGCTATCGTTGAAGTAGGCCTATCTTGACGATTTCGGTGGCTTGTCTGTAAAAAAAAACGCCAGTTCCAACGGCTGTCGTCCATTTTGTTTTGGTAAATATGTAAATGTATGCATCACGTGATGACATCAAAAAAAATCTGCGCGCGCGATGTATGTGGGTACCACACCGCTTTCAGGCGCCGCAAGTGAGTTCAATTTTCGTCTGGTGCGTTGTCGTGGAGAGCATTCTCGGTGTCAACTGGAGTTACTCAAGCTATCACTCAGCCAATGAGCATGATCAGCATTGAGACTTCGACATTGAATCAAACTTTCAAAGTTGCCATCTTGTTTTTTTAACCTGTTTTCTGGTTGTTGTCGTCCCCTTTCACCCCATAATTTCCCCCATAAATCGAAGATATGCCCTCTTTCCACAAAATACTAGGGCCTACTATTCACAAAAGGAAAGAATGCAGTATTCAGCGTTTGTGTACAAAGTCTATGGAATTTGAAGAAGATTTTCAAAGTATTTTTTAACCAAATTGGAAATGATTCTCAGTCCCAGATTCATGTCTTTTTAATATTTTAACAATGACTGACCTTATTGAGACGATATATGAAGAAAATGTGGCGTCAGGTTGCAACGTTCTTTCCCAAAACGTTCCCTTTCTTGCTGTTTCGTCCACAACTTTCATGATGTTTGTTTACGATGTGCAGGTTGACAGGCGCCCTCTCTAGTTCTAGTTGGACGAAGACATCTTACTTTCTGAGGGCGCCCTTCTCAATTAACGGTGGGGGGATTATAAAAGTAAACCGTTTGGCACATAAATTTGTCTCCGTGCTAGACTACTATTTTGTCAGGCGCACCCTTTTTTTCAACAGAAACCTTTAGTTGACAAAAGTGTGAAGGTAATGTACGGGGTTATGCCCTTGTAAACTTTGAAACAAACGACCTTCAATTTAGTATCAACGGGCCGGTATTTATTTATAGTTTTATTTAGACAGGGTATGCCGCTAGCCTCATCAGTTAAAAACTGCTATTACTGAGGGCCCTGTATAAAATGATCAGAATAAAATGAAATAAAAGAAAAATATTATGTAAAATCACTAAGAACATTAAGTAAAAGTAAAAACTAGAATAAAGAAACAAATATGCAAATATGTAAAATATAGGGGTGCAAATACAAAAATAAGAATAAATTTTACCACTAAGATACACATATAAATACTGACGAAATACAACACAGAAATTAAATTAACATATTATGAGGATTGTGTTGCATATTTTCCATGAAAATTGATTCGGATTGTATTTTTCGCATATTTATTTAACACTTTTCGGTCATCATTATTTGTGTTGTTAGATGGTTTCTCATGAACACACTATTTATTTTAATCATATTGAATTTATTATAGACAGCTACCCTCAAATTTTAATAGGTTTGTATCACAAGGGCATTAAATCTCAACAGAAAACACCAAACACTTTCTTTGGCTCAATATTTGGTCGTAATGTCATGAGGAAGTCCATTAAATTGCAATTAAAAGGCAACATCAAACACTTTATTTTAAAACAATTCTCAAGCAGTAGAGTGGTGCGAAAGGACATTTCCGCACATTTTAAATTTTGCCCACTAATATTTTATTTTATTTCAAAAGAGGGCGCGCTTTACAACCACCGTTAAGGATTTTACCCGTTTGTACATGCACCATCGACACAGGCATTATGGACGGAAACACTTACTCCTAAATTAACTGATGCATTGAATTCAATCAGTACAGCCAGGAGATTCATAACAAATAGAAAAAATACACAAAATAATTATGCCATAAACTGTTGTTCTCTTCGTAAATATTATAGAAATTTGTCAACACCGAGAAAAACGCACCCATCTGCAATCACAGTCTAGGCCAATAGAACAAATCCGAAGTCAACTTTATTGGAGCGAAAATAAAAAATCGTTGTGGGCACAATTACTCAATAAAATTATCTTGCGATAAACTGAAATTTGGGTTAATATGTGATGTCATAAGGAAGGTTATTACTTTCAATATCCAGGGGAAATCTCATACTATATTTCATGCACTTAAAGAGCATAGAGCAAGGAACAGACAGAGCGCGCGCGGCGTCCCCTCACTTTTGTCAACAATCGTTTTATGCAAAAGATGTTTAAATATATATATTAAATTAGGTAAAAAAGTGACTTTTCTCCAAACAAAACAGAATTTCCTTTGAAGGTACAAATGAGTATCAATTAATATTTCTCTTTTGCGTCATGTAATTTTTCAATTTCAAATAAAATGCTTTTTGCAAAGCTCTTTTCAAAGGTGAATTTGTGAAGAAACAATACCAAATAAAACTGCAGATTTTGAATATTATGTGGCACGTCCATGTTGCTGTACTACAACTTGTACAAGGCGTCCGGAAGCCTAATACCATTACTCCAACACTCATTTTCAATCGTCCACGCACCCTCCCACACTCCCGCGCTGCCCCTCCCCCACCGTGGCTCGCAAATCCAGATAATCTACTTATTACTGTAGCTAAACCTCTTAGTCAGATGGCCTAGCGGTCTAAGCCACCTGCGGGATTCGAACCCGTGCCCGGGCGCTCCAAAGGCGTAGTCTTTGGAGCGCCCGGGCACGGGTTCGAATCCCGCCCAAGTTTTGACTTAAACACAATTTTAAGTATAAGAAAATATCTTCTTGATATTTTTTTAGGGGGGGGGAGGTTTAAAACTCTTCATTGGCCAAGAGAACGAGTGAACATCACAACCAATTATTTTAAATATTAAACAGTGATTAAAACCAATGTTATTGAGGAGAGATATTTAGAGATGATTAGTAAGAGGTCTAACATTTGAGATATACTTTTACATTGCTCGAATTATTAGGGCCGTAATATTGTTGTCAAATTTGAAAAATAATAAGAACAAAACGAGAAAGACATTATGGGGGGGGGGGGGCGCTGGTCAATCAGACGATCATGTGGTCACTATAACTAAAAAATAAATACATGTGTCATAGAATTGAAATTGTACATAAAATTGCAACTATTGCTGCTGGTCCTAAATGTCTTAAATAATTCTTTGAAATATCGAAAAGAGTAGCAAAACAATAAAGAAATGTGAAAATAATTTTCAGTGTTTTTGTTTCCTCAGTTGCAGAATGATCAAACCATTAAGAATGTTTTACTTAATGTCGTTTTATTTTATGTTAAATTAATGGGGGTTTTTCGAGTGCCGAAACATTAATTCAACATACAAGCCGCCGCATCACTGGGGTTTCTCAAAGAAAAATATTTGTCTTGACTTTCATCTTTATGTATTTCTTTTTGATGAACATCCAATTGCATTGTCAGTAAAAAAATATTCACAGCAAAACAAGCTCACCTGCCGAAAAGCGAGAAAAAGAAAAAAACAAAGAAGCCCATATCCAATTTCTGTTTTGGACATCGACAGCAAAAAAACAAAACAAAACCAAAATCTCATTTCCTAACCGTCAGTGTCATTTTGAATCGGTTGTTGCCATAGCTTTCTTTAATTTCTATGCCATGTTTGTATCGTCAGCAATGTGCGACCACAAGATGGCGCTCTTCAAATCATTTGAAGTCGACTGCCTGAATCAACAGAAAAGAAAAGAAAACTTTGAATCTCTGCCATACATTGTGAAAACAGATCATACAATTTGAAGAAGACAACTTATTTGCAAAGTAGACGTGGAATAATTAATCAGCAATAATTGTTGATTTTAATAAATATGACGACAAAATTCTTCCAATCGGTAGGCCCATCTCAATTACGTTGTTTTGTTTTCGTTGGTAATAATTTCATCAGTTTCACCCTAAGTCTGTAATGATGTTGACCTCAGTCGCGAAATACATCATGTGCAGCCTGGAACGGTCTCATTGTGTCTTACGCTGACAGAGGATCGTGATCTTGACCTTGATCTTCATCATGACATCAGTCGACGTCACTGCTACGTGATTATTGTCTCGACAATGCCAATTTTAGGCTTTGAAATAAGACTATAGGCCTACATTTTAAATGTTAAAGACATTGACAGCCATAAAAGTCAAAGTTTTCCTACCAATAAAAATATTTTTCTGCACCCATAAATTTAGGGCAAAAATTTGTAAAATATCCAAACTTCTATAACAAAATTGCAAAAACAACTGTGAGCCCCCCCCCCCCGCCAAATCCTGGGTGCACCATTAACTTAAACTTAAAGCAATAGAGTGGCCGGGAAAATATTCAGTTTCATTGGTAATTTTTGGCAACAACCATTGTTTGTCTTACTTCCTAGGCTTGTTTTACTAGTAATGACCAAATAGGCGAAATTTCACTTGTCCTTAATCTGTCAATTTCTTGAATATTCAACTGAAACAAACTTATCTCCCTGTATTAAAGCGACATCAAAAACCATTACAAAAAGTCCTTATTCCATTGCCGTTTTTTGAAACCAAAAACCAAAACCCTTTTCCCAGCAGCAACGCAACCATTTATCACCAAACCGTCAGTTTCAACTGTCATTTTCCCATTTCTTAAATTCTAAGCCACTGCATCTTCGGCAATGTTTCACCGCAAGATGGCGCTCTTCAAATGTATCATCTGAAGTCATCACCACCATGGAGCTAGCACTGCCTGAATCAACACTGCAACAAAAAGAAAAGAAAACATTGATTCTGTGGCATACAATTCTGAAAACAGGTCATAAAATTTGATAACTGATCATTTGCAAAGTAAATGTGGAATCAGGCAGCAATAATTATTGATATTAATATAGGCCTACATGATGACACAATTCTTCCAAAAAAGTAGTTGGCCTATAAGTTGCTTTGTTTTCGTTGGTAATAATTTCATCAATTTCACCCTAAGTCTGTCATGATGTTGACCTCAGTCGCGAAATACATCAGTGTGCAGCATGTAACGGTCTTGTTGTGTGCGCTGATCAGAGGATCGTGATCTTGACCTTGATCTTCATCATGACATCAGTCGACGTCACTGCTACGTCATGTACGTCATTCAATAAGAAATGGCTACTTATTTTACATGACAGAAAAATATGATAATTTACATGCCTACATTAACGAGCAATAAACACATGCATACCTGATGTAATTACATTGTGATTGTGTTCTTTAACGTCATGACTACATACGTCACATTTTTTTTTTCGCTTGTAGGCTTGTAGTCTACAAGTTCATGATCATTGATCTTGTGGGATTCTTATCTTAGATCGCATTCAGGATACTCAGATCTCTGACCCTTGACCTTAGATTTTAGATATCCCTGATCTAATCATGGCTCCTCATATACCTATTTCTGTCGTCGTCATAGTCTTAAGAAATAATTTATTATAATTCTCTTCCAAGATATAACTGCTTTAATTGGCATGGGTATCGTATTACATCTTTCTCCATATAGTCCATCATAGCCTGAGACTACTTTCCATAATTTCTTGGAAAATATCCTTATTATTTTGTGAAGTGCCTAATTATATGCATCTTAATCAATTACTCTTTGGATATTCTTTGGCGAATGGTATTGTTTCAAACTCACTTTGCAACCTTCCCCTTTTCAACTTTCCACGGCTGGTAAAATGTTAGGTTTCTCTTTTCCAGTAGGCCTACATGTAAAATCCCCTTTCCGTTACTGATGAAATATAAACAGTGACTTTAAGAATTAGGCTTACCTTTCCCCTCATAATGTCCACGTCTTTATGGTTGTTTACGAATACAGGCCTAGCGCTCCTCGCGATAAACTTATGAAATTCGGCCTCCTGTAATTATTGTAAGGTTCGCCTAGTGCGCGGGAATTATGGTGGCGGTTGAATTTACAAGCGTCAGTCCGGTAAAGAAATTATCTGTGTTTCATTTCGTATCGTTTGCGCTTCAGTTCATTTCACCTCGAATGTTGCCGTGAATTACGGAGCAAAACGAACACGGCGACAGCTTAGAAGTCTTCTGGGTTACCTAGAATTAGTTTACATCGTCACTGTTCTCATGGGCATCAATTTTGGAAATATTTTATCGCAGAAAAAAGAACGGAAATTTAAAACAAAAATACTCACAAGGTGCAAATGTCTGGCATCCATCTTGAAATGCAAGCAGCAGATGAGAGGGCGAAAGTCAGACGGTTGGGCTCAAGGCGTAATGCGGTTCAAAAACCCTATCACTTGTTTATCCCTCCGCACTGTCACAAAATGATTTTTTTTTTTTCTATTTATTTTTTACTTGTGTCTAGGGTCATGACTTGTTTTCATTAATCGCAACGATATAATGGATCATGCTGCTGAATAGGAAACTATCAAACCATATTAAACCATTTAAATCAGAAAATGGGGTTCTATTTTTCTTTATCCGCGGACTAACACGCACCAGTCTCAATGTTCACTGAAAAAGTGCAAGAGCGGTTCTGATTGGTCGAAAGTCAACAGGATATTCTGGGATTGGCTGGGATTGGCCAAGATACACAATTTGCATATGGCATGTCGCGTGCCAGGTGTGGAATTTGGATGACAATAGCTATTTGCATAATTCTTCGGGAAAAGCCCGAGTCAGAGGTCAATGCTTTGTATTGTGCGTCATACCGGTCACACGACGACAGTTTCATGACTGCAGTGCTGAGATTGTATGGAACCGATCGTGCTGGTAAATTTTAATTAGGAAAGAATTAAGCCGACATCTCAACAGCCAACAGTAGAGTAACTGGGGTCCCATGAGGCCGGAGAGGGAGGGTTCTATGGGTCTCATTGGAGGCACACAAAAGGTTTGGTCATTGTTCTTTTAAAGATATTTGCAGATGTTTTCTTTACCCATACCCGTCCATATCAGAATATCATTGCCAAACATTTTGTGACTTTTATGCTTTTGTCAAGACCGTGAATTCATAGCTCTTTATAGAGATGCTTGCCACGGATTTACTTGCTTGGAAAAATTCGGTTTAATAATTATTTCATTATAAATTCGATGATTTTTAAAATATCTTTTGTAGAAAAAAAGGCACGGAAAACTAGATTGGGAAAATCAGATTTATCTTCACAACCCCCCCCCCCCCCCCTCCCCCCGGCGAACGTATTTTCCGATTTGGTTTCCCACAGTATGTGGCCTGCGCCACCTGTTGTTCAGTATTTGATACATCCCTCGATGCACCATCGGTCGCGCATGCGGCACGTCGATCGTCGTGGTGTCATCAGATAACAATTGTTTTGACCATGGAGCTATTGTTTGGCCGTGGTTTTACACACAGACTCATAAAATTGTGATAGGCATTTACAGGATAACTAGTTTAGTACTAGAAACCTTCGAAAGAATGTCAATTGCGTCCTGAATTCATGACGTGTATCCTCGAGCTCGACGCAGCTAATAACGCCGGGGGTCTTAGCTGGAGTTACCTATAGACAACCCAATGATAAAACTCAGGGCTGGGTAACTCCAGCTACGGGGGTCTGACGATGTCATCAGATAAGGTCAGTTAAAGGTTGAAAAACATGAATCTGGATGAGAAACTGAACTCTCCATAGACTGACTGTGTGTAGTTAATTTGCCAATTAATTGTAATTTATCTCGTGATGACAATTGAAAAATCTGGAAAAGATGTTGCAACCTGGGGGTGAGGCTGAAGCCACTTCCAATTCCACGCTTGTGTACAAATGGAGACTAAGAACATTTTTTAAGTATTTCCTAACAAAATTGGAAATATTTCTCAGTCCCAGATTCATGTCTTTAACACTTATCATCATTTTTGCAACAAATGACCTTCATTGAGATGATATATAGAAAAAAAAGAAGCGTCAGGTTGCAACATTCTTTTAAAAGATTTGTGTGCACCATGTAGGTACTGGTACCATACCGCTATCAGGTACAGGCAATTAAATTTTCGTCTGGTGCATTGTCGTGGAAAGCAAGATGACTGTTTCATGCGTTAAGCATTCACGCAGAAGGCACTCACAGTCTAACTCATGAAACAGTCAATTAGAACGCGCAATCGCGTAACATTCCCCAATATGGAGCGCGTGACCAAGGCCTTTGTTGCTGTGTCTATAGCTGAGTTTATTTTATCCATGTCTAGACGCGACAACGGGTGAATGACCGAAGACCCGATATATAGAAAGCACCCACTGATTGGTAAAAAGCTAGAGGTCAAGATGCGGTTGTCTTGCATAACTTATCAGCAAATCTGTTCAAAAATTATAGAGCATGGCTTAGATTGCCATGGTCTATTATATAGACTAGCACATACATTGTGTATTTGGCGCAGTCGAAACGCCCCTATATCTGAGTGGAACAACCCGCTATATCGCAGCGGCGCACACATGCTTTGGCCTCTTTTTTTTAACTTTGTGCGCGGACGTCCTTTCCAGCCTTGTTTTCATTTGTGCTTTTTTTCATGGGTAATCCAAATCATTTATTTCATTGAAAAATACTCAACTACTTCATGCTGTGTTGGAACACTCAAAAAAATATTTAGACTCTGATTTTTTAACCAACAGACTTTGAATGATGTTATTTGACCCTGAAAATTGGGAATCAGCCAAAGCAGTCCTGTATGGCGGTCGTGTGGAAAGGATGCAACCGTGTGGGATGGCCGTCACTACAAGCAGTCACTTCTTGGTAAGTCCAACGTGATCTTTTATTAAGTTGCCCCATTCATGGGGAGGGGAGGGGGAGGGGTAGACTTTTTTTGGAGGGAGGGGAGATAGGACAACTAGAACCAAATCTTAAGCCCTCTTCACACTAGAGCCTCTCAACCTGGGTTGAAATCAACCCTGGGTGAACCCAGTGCCGCCCTGGGTTGAGTTTTGTATTTCAACCCCATGTTCAACCCCGCATCGTTTCACACTTGTTTCATGCAAATCAAGCTTATCATGCTCAGTCACTACTGTTTGCAACCCTGGCCAGAATTTCGACCCGGGTTGAAAATCTCAACCCTGGTCTGGAGCAGGGTTGAGTTCAACCCGGGGCGAAATCAATCTCGGGGTTAATGCAGGGTTGACACATGGTTGAAATTCTTTAAGTGTGAAACGATACATGTTTTCAACCCCACGTCAACCCGGAGATTTGTCTAGTGTGAAAAGGCTTCACTTTCATAGAGAGAAACCATAGTCGCAAGCCTACTTCTGGACCCTTTTCCTGAAAGACTAATGAAAATCCACTTTGTTCACCAAGCTAGCTGGCATGGTTAATAAAGAATTTATAACTACATGTGTATGTGTTTTGAACTCGTTGTCCCCAAATAGGGTACAGTCACAGAGTTTTGTGGGTGTCCTTAAAGCAATATGCGTTCAGAAACCAAGAATGCGGATACAATTGGGACCAACCATGTTTGTCCTTGTTTACTCATCCTATCAAGATGGTAAAAAGAGAAAACAGGTCATGATGAAGCCATTTTTGGTGAGAGCAGTGGCCCAAAACATTATTTTATCTGTTTTTCACAAATTTAGCATCAGAAATTACAGTTGTTTGAGCTGGAAGGCACAATTACCAGCTGTGCAAGTCAGAGTTTCAGATGTCCTAAGGTTTAGTTCAACAAAGTAATATTTAAAAGATTAGTCATAAAATTTTGCTAATAAATGGCCTGATCCCAGGGACCAAAAAGGATGAATGCATTTATTTCTGCTCGTTTCAAAACCTCAGATTTTACAAGTAAATTAATTTAAATAGAATTAAGTACAGTAGAGTTTAATTAATTTCAAGTTGAAATGGCAACCAAATAGGTACAACAATCAAAACAGAGGTCTGGAATTGAATTCTTGAAAAGGCAAGGACATTTCAAGGAGGCAGTCAGGCAAAAAGCAAGGCAACGGAGGCCATAGCGTCCTGAAATTCAATAACATTGATTTGAACATTTGTTAAAATGGTTGGCAACCTTTCACACTTGAAGAATTTTTGACCTTGAAAGAAAAATAATAAAAATGTTTATCAAGATAATCCCTTGGGAGTACATTTTACACAAGTCATTATTCTGTGAATTCAGACAGAAAACCAAATTAATAGGATAAGTATTTGTGCTCATCTTTAGCAGACATTTTGATGATTAAATGATCATCCACATTAGTGTTTCAATATAAATGCAAATTGTACAAAGCTTGTGAATAATAACAATAAACATGATTTCTATTAAAAACTACAAAAACGAAAAAAAAACCTACCAAACTTTTTTTTTAAAGAAACTGAGTGAATTTTAAGACTTATTTTTAAAGTAATCTTGATTAACTTTCAGAGTTTGTATATGCTTAAAGGTGAATTGTACATTCATGTAGGATCATTTGCCTTTTACAGGGTTTTTATCGCCGAAGCAACAAAAGTGTCCAATATTTTAAGTAGGGTGCATAACAAGCATTCTGTTCAAGTCTTAGCTGAGTGGCTACTATACATTTTGGAGAAAACAGAGAAAACATAATGCACAAGTCTTTGGATCTCGTAACTGGATTCTGTAGGCACCTCATTTTGAAACCACCTTCAATGTTTGTTTTCTGACAATACCATTTCAGGTGGAATTATTTCACAGGGTATTTGTTACCAGTCCTATCTTCACTTTGAGGTTTCTGTCATTAAATCGGTAGGTACTTATCTGGGTAATTGCAAATGATCCTACATGGCTTTAAAAAGTGAAGTTAACAGAAATACAGAATAATTAAAATTGTACAGGCTGTAATTTCTATTATCAGAAAATGTAATGTAGAGATACCTACATGTAGATGTAAGTTCTATTAGGAACAAATTGAAGAATATACATAAAGGGAGTTTACAAAGTCTTGTTGTGACTACTAAGATCTACATACAGTGGTGAATTGTTAAACACTTAAAAGTCTACTTGAACATTTAATTTTTACAATAAATTGATACTTCACAAACAAATTAATAATTTTTGCTGAAACCCAAACTGAAGTGATGATTTTTTTTCGTTTTCAAGTTTTTTAAACTGCAACCAAATATGCAAAACAATGAAAACAGAGGTGTGCAGTTTAATTCTTGAAAAGACGAGGAAATCTATTTGGTTTGTAAGAAATAGAAATGTGCTATTTGTGTGGGGCACAAATTTTTTCAAGGTGGTAGTCGGGCCAAAATCAAAGCAACTTACGCCGCTTAGCTTTCTGAAATTCAGCTTCAGTCGAATTGATTTCTAATCATTCAAACTGAAGGGATATTTAACAGTCAGAGAAAAAATGTCAACAAAATTTCAAATCAAGATAAAAACATTCTTATAAACATGAGTCTTCATTCTGTAAATTATGACAGGAAACTAAATTAATTTTCACTCATCTTTAGCAAACATTTCAATGAGTAAATTATCTTCAATATACATGTAAATGCATCGTAAATTCGAATGCGTAAACGGAAACTGCAAAAAGTAATGTCAAAACTGAGTAAATAAAGGCTTACATTGAACAGTAATCTGAGTACTAACTATCATGGTGATGCGTATGCTTAAAATGAATTCAAACAATACTATTTCACAAAATATTTGTAGTATGGTTACATCTCAAGGATGAAGTGGTTGTAAAACTGTCTCAAAATTTCTATTATCAAAAGTACAATATATAATGGACAACATGTACATGTAGATTTCATTAGGAACACATTTCAGAATTTCAGGGAGTTTACGAAATCTTGGCTTTGTATCCAGCTTTGGCTTCTACTATGCAGATTGCAGAGCCTCTGATGAGGTCAAGATATAAACCTCATGAACAATGTCAACACAATTCTCCATTCTGTGAATGAAGATCTGAAACCACATTAATAGAATGAGCTTTGTCACTCATCTTTAGGATACATTTGGACAAGTCAATTGACTTGTAAAGCAGCGTTTTATTAATTAAATATGTACATGAAACTGCAAAAAGTAACACCAAATTAACTGAGTGAATAAAGGCTTATCTTGAACACTAATATGCACGTATTTGAACTGAGTAATGCATTATCTTGAACACTAGTCCTAACACAAAATAGAACTGAGTAATGCATTTGTAAAGTTATTATTATTCAAAATAAATGTTAAGAATGTTAAATCTCAAGAACGAAATGATCCTAAACATTTCTCAAATATTGGTTATAAAGATAGCAGAATATATACAGCAACTTCCATCAGGAACAATTTAAGAATCTTAATTGTGTTTATGAAATCTTGGCTTTGTCCCTGGCTTTGGCCTCAGGCTGCATGATTTTTGTCCCCTGATGTAACTCCAGTGCAATATTGGTCCATTTTCTTCTTTAGAGACACCAAATCCTGTCACACAAGGCCAATGGATGGTTGGTGCATTTTCACTGAGTTTGAATGTGGTAGGATTCTAAGGAATCTAGAGCCAGGGATGAAGCGGAAGCCACAACGAAGCCAGGGTTTCATAAACACCACAGAAAGTTGGTAAGTATTGGATAGATTGATGGCAATCCATGTACTGGGTGAGGGAGGGGTGTTGGGTTGAGGAGGCGGGGGTCATTACATTCAAACACCTCAACACCCACTAAACTCCCCTCTCCTTTCAAATTTACCATTTAATTTAGACAAATAGATTAAAGTCATCATACATAAGATTAAAACAAATTGTCCCCCAATCAAATCAAATGTAACGGTAGTCAATACATTGTTTATATAAGACTTTGTATAGTAACATAATGTAACTGATGCACTGTTTATTTAGAAAATTTGTATGGTAAAATGGTTCACATCAGAGGGATCTGGCAGTTTGGATTTTTTGAGGAGAGATGTGATATGAGTGGGACATGAATGTTGATTGGTGCTGTAATGACTGGACAATTTCATCCTCAACATTTGCTGTAGGGATGATGATGATTGCTAGTCAATGTCATGTTGGATGACATCACACCTTGTGATATATCTTGATTGAGTGGAGGTCAGCCACTGCCAGCTGGCCCTCTGATGTGAATGTCATTCCACATGGGGCAAACAGACCCTGAGCCAGGCAATCAAGAAACATGCCATCTAGGTCATAGTGGTGAATATGACCAGTGCCAGTCACACCTTGGTACACTATAAGGTAGATGCCTGAGCTGTCACAGCATACACCACGGCAGTGCTTTACTGGCTTACCATTAATGGTAGGCCGGATGGTGACATTTGTTTTACCTTTGCTATCAGCAATATCCACTTTCTTTGTGTCACCTCCACTGACCACAACTCTATCAGTGTTGTCTTCAACAGCCAGGTAGCGAGGTGGAGTCTGCACTGGTATGGTGCATAGGATCTCACCATCAGTGGCTTTGTGTTCAGTCCACACCATATTGTAGGCGTCGCCTACTAAGATGCTATTCTTTGTTACTGCTAGACTTGATAGGGTCATTTCTGTCTTGTCTACCTGATGCTTGAGCATCGTTGGAAACTGCATAACAAGAGTATTGTCCTTCATGTTGAACACCTTGACATACTTGCTTCCATATTCCAACACAAGCAAGCGTTGCTCAGGATTGTGGATGGCTGCAACTGCCACTGGACCTGTGGGTAAAGAAGAACTCAAATGTAACATATGCACAGTATATAAATGCACTGTCACTATTCTCAGTCCTCATGAAATATAAATACCTATGATAACCTACCTATAATAATGAATACATGGCGTGCCTTAAAGCCTGGTCATGTAGAATTAATAGGCCTACATGAACATTGTGCAGTCTTCCAACCACCATACATGTATAATTGTGAATAACTGCAGTGTCTTGGAGATACAGTTTTGCAAAGTCTTTTATAAAGTTGATGCACTCTCTGTGCTATTCTCATTGTTCAAACATCAAAATAGATTAGTCTTATATTTACCCGGATCGCTAAATTTTTTTTAGCAATAATAAGGTTGTTCAATTTTCAAATGAATCATTAATTGAACAACATAAACCCCATTTTTAGTCATCAAATAATTGTATAATAACAAACTGTACAATAACAATTTAGTTCCTGCAAACTTTAAGACACCTTTCACAAATTGTTCCAAGATTGTTGCTTACATCATAAACTAACAACTGAAAATATAGAAACTTGAAGCATATTGGGTTTTTTTGTAATTTAAGGTCAAAGGTCATTTCATAGCGCATTTTCTCTGTGCTTTATGGTATGATTTTGGTTTTATTTTATGAATGGAGGCCATTCAAAGAGCTTTAATATGATGTACAATTTGGCTTTGTATAGTTGCTATAGTTTTGGAGATACAAGTATTGAAAGTTCGGAGGTCATGCTAATTAGTCAAAAGTTCTTTGACCTGTATCTCAGAGTCTAACAAGCCAAGCTACAAAAAAATCAGTTCTGGGGGTTTCTCATACAGGCCAATCATCACACCAAATAATGTTTCAATCTGTGAGGGTCAAGTCCAAAATCGTGTTGAATTGACATGGAATTACACACTTTTGAGAGTCAAAATTTGACCCTCAAAATTTGTTCTTGCAAGAAAAACACACAAACGGCCAATTTGTCAAGGATGGTTGTGTAGACATTTTTATATTGACATACATGTACAGATCCTTGTCATTTGATCGGTGGAACTTACATGACATGACATGCTTTATTGCTCCCATTCACGCCGGGGCTCAAAAAGTCCCATTCGCCCATGGGGAATGGGAATTGCAATGGAAATACATTGTACTATTCAACAGTTAGGATCATTCTTGTTCCATGACGCGGTATTTGTATGTAAATGCATGCTGGTGTGCGTGTTCAGCATAGCGTATCGCGTATTGTTCCAAAGAGCCAGCGCTGCTGAGTTTGGTTCAAACATTTTCGTGAAGGGGTGGTTTGGAAGAAAGAAATACATTTTCCACCAATTGTATGTTAAAATAAAGGTTCAAATGTATCAAATATGTCAGGATCTCAAACATTAATATTGAGTGGCTTAAAATTGTGAAATCGGAGGAATATTATCGCTTGGTAAAATCTGGACTTTTCCATTTCACGAAGAAAGGAAAAGTCCAAATTTTATCTTGCGATAATATTCCTCCTATTTCACTCTGAGCCACTCATCAATATATTTGTATAATATCCCACTTTTAAATGCCCTTTAAATCACTTTTAATTTGATATGGTGGTGTCATTGTATGATGTCATGACTTTGTACAACAGTGCATATTTGTACACAGTTTTTTCTTCATACCTTGACCCGTTAGGCCCCCCCCCAAAAAGTCTCCGCTTTCTGGTATGGAGCTTGCCCCAAAAGTGGTGCGGCGACGCGGCTTTTTTTTTTTTTTTTTACCTGTTTTTTTTTTTTTTTGCTTCAAATCATAACCCCATCCAAAAACACATTAAAATTGTGCAGCAGCAGAATTCCAGGCAAACCAGTGAGTTTGGCGGTTTTGAATTAAAAAAATAACTTTTTCCTTTTTTCCGACGCGCATGGCTACGGCGACGCGCGCGCATACCATAAACCGGAGACTTTTTTTTTTGGCCTTAGGGAGTAATTCCATTTTTTTGTTCATGCTGCTTTTAGTATAACTTTGACTGTCAACCCCAGAAGGTCAAGCAACTTCACATGTATACACAGGACCCAAAAAAATGGTTCATCAACGTATGATTCATCAGATCACAAAATGTGAACAAGATTTCTTGCTTTGTTCAGGAGTTATAAACGAGACAAAACGGTCACTCTTTGAACTAAAAAATAAACAACTTTAAATAAACATTTCTTTCTAAAGGTTACAGACCCCCCCCAAAAAAAGTTTTTCTTCCAAACAAGCACAAATCAGTAATAAAATAAATAGAAGTTTTGCTGTAGTTTTGTTTATTTTGTGAGTGTGTGTCTGTGTGTGTGTGGTTTTTTGTGCCATTTTTTTTAAAAACCTGTAGGCCTTCATGTAAAAAAACCCTGAATATTTGTTGAGAACAAAATCAAGTATGTTGGGGAGCACTGCCAGCACATCAGTTCCTTGCCAGTAATTTATTGTTTTTCATTCTCAGTTGTCAGATCTGCATGTGCACATGGAAGACTGACGTATAATTTCCACACAATTATGAAAGTTGTGTTGATGAACATGTGCATGAAAGAAACTTACCTTGTACGGGAATGGTTCCCTTGTGTTGTCCCTCATTGCTGCAGATGACCACTCGGTTGTTCATAACGTCTGCCACAGCAATCTCACCAGGTTGAGTAGCAGTAATATCTACAGCCCCACTGAACTCTCCTGGACCACGCCCCCCTTTACCAATCTCACGACACATCTCCCACTTGCCTTTGACTGCCAGCTTGCCCAGATTGATTTCACCAATCTTCTGACCCGGGGTGAAGCTCAGATATGAAAGCCTTGGATCAATCTGGGGAGGATTTTGACTCTTGAGTGATTTCAAGTCTTTACTGATGATTGGGTATAGGGACAAAAAGTCACTGTCAGATGCAGTGTTAATGATATCCTGGGATGTCCCTAGAGAATGTTTTTTACTTTCTAGCATCATTGTCAGTGTTGACTGATGCTCATCATATGTTCTGTTGCGATCCTGTTGGAGTTGTTTGATCTCTACAATCATCTTTGTCTCTTGAGTTGTTATCTCAGCTCTTATTTTCTCCGCTTTGTCTTTCACAGCTTTCACAGTCTTTGTGACGTTCTGTGTGAACTTCTGCTTAGCTTGTGATGAAGTGGTCAAAGCTTGTTCAAGGTTTTTGATGCCTGTGGTGAAGTCTGGAAATGTATCTTTCAGTGACTGTTTGTATTTGCGAGAAGCCTCTCCAGACTCAATGTAGTGATGTTTTGGTTCACGGTGGTTTACTACAGTACAATCTCGGCAGATTAACTCTTCACATGTCTCACAGTAAAACCGTTTCAGTTCCCCCTTGTGTTTCTGGCATTTAGACTCATCTTCTTCTGGTGTTTTTTTCACTGTTACCTTCCCCTGACGAATGTCCTCCAAAGTAGCCACTGTGTGGTTTGATGTAGCAGTACATCGCAAGTGTGTCTTGCGACAGTTTGGGCAGATATTCTGTGCACAGTCCAGACAACGATGCATTGCCTCATTTCCCTCATCACAAATCTCACAGATGACCTTTGTGTTTTCTGAACAAGCCACCTTTTCTTGGAGTGAGACCTCCTCAACTATTCCCATCAAATGGAAATTTGTTTTCAGGCCTTGAATGCGTGTCTCTGGAAGTACCGTCTCCCGTCTACATACAGGGCAAGGAATCTTAGGCTGACCTGCATACCTGCTAGTGTAGTATTTCTCCAGACATGTCTCGCAAAAACTGTGTTGGCAATCCAGCACCTTGGGCCGTTTGTATTTCTCCTGACAAATGTCACACTCTAGATGGGGAGTGATCTTTTTCAAAGCTGTAGCCATTTTTATCTGTATTTAAATAATAAAATGGAAGGGTTACTATAAGGGCAATAAAAAAACTTGACGGAAACATGTGACTTTTATACATTATAGATGTGCTGTCCATTGG